TGCCTTGGACAAGCGGTCAGAACGTGGGCTTTCAGGTAAAGATACATGAAGTCTTCTGCCTCTGGCTTCCTGTTTTCCTGTGAGGACATGAGGCCTGCAGAAAGACTGTGGAGTACATGTGAGATCTGGCTTCCCGGGACCTGCAGAGACTGGAATACATGTGCCATCTGGCTTCCCGGGGCCTGGTATGGTGCTCATCTACTTCACGACTTAGGATTCTCATTTATTTGACTCGCTCCTTAAAGAATGACAGAATGTGAGTTACCAGTCCCGTCTAGAACCCGCGGAACTCCTGGGGTCGCTCAAATGAGGAGGCTGCAGGCTTTTCGAGCTGGTTATGGCGTAGTTCCGCACGTTCAGCTCCCTTCTGTGCAAATGAGTCATGGTCAGAATGTGTCTCCTAAATCTCAAAGCCCAGTGTGTCCTGAGCAAATGCGTCCTTGCTCATAAAAAGCCTTCAATTCAGGACCCAGTCCAGCCCATCTGGGTTCAACCATCACCAAAGGCTTTGGCCTAAACAGCCTGAAGGACTCAGGAGAGAAAGCCACAGAAACTTCCATATAAAGCGGCACAGTTGGGGACACAGCACTGGAAGCTGGGTCTAACTTGAGCCAAGTGCTGACCTCAGAACCATCAGGTCCCTTCCTCAGCAGCTGGAAAGTTCAGCTACCAGGATAGATGGCCCTACTCAGACATTCTGTATGGATATGGGGTGGGTGTCTTGGTGCATTATCTGTAACGTCTCATCGTATGTCAGTGGTCCCTAATTATTTATTAAAATCTGTACACCTTCTCAGTGGAAAGGCAGTGCTGTGTGTGCACAAATATGTCACACTGCATATTGTCTCAAGCCACTGATGGCTTTGAAGGTCAGTGGGCCCCAGACCCAGTCACACAGGAAACAGAAAAGAGGTTCTCCTTTAAGGCTTCCAAAGAAGAACTCAGCTCTGCACTAGGTGTGTGCACTAGGTTTTAATCCAAAAGCTCCATTCAGATGTCTGTCTTTCAGAAACAGAACCGACCGCATGAAGACATGTTGTCCTAAGCCATCAAATGACAACAGGTGTTGGCCTGCGGGGAACTTCCTGATGATTGGGTGGTGGGGGTGAAGGAGTTCCAGCAGGCCTGAGCATGGCAAACATGGCAGAAAGGTTCTGCCCTTTTACCCCCTGCTAAAAACGTCATTCCAAAAGCTAGCCCCCAAGGTCTATCTAGTCCCTTATTTGGCCACTGACACATTCCAGAGACAAAACATCAAAGTCCAACCATCAAAATTCATTATTTGGTTAATATGTCCAGTTAGGATTCCCAACTCATCCTAGCAGAGACGGTCCCCCACTTACCCCTTAAGAACCCGTTCCCACAAAAACACCAGCACTTGCTCTCTTGCTGCTGCTGCTACTGCTGCTGCTGCTGCTGCTGCTGCTGCTGCTGCTGCTGCTGCCTTTGCAGCCTCCCCTAGCCCCACTTGTTCCTCCAGGGTAATACATCTCCTTTGTTGACTGGGTATGTCCTGTCCTGATTCTGGGAGGCTGACCTCTCCTTCAGGGGGAGCAAGCATTGGTATCAAAAGTCAAGCTGTTGATCCCTGTAAGCAAAAGCCTTGGTCACCCCAAGCTCCAGGGATGGAGGGACAGCCAGCTGTGGAAGATGCCCTACCAACAGGAGTTCCACTTCTCATATGCTAGCGGGAAAAGACACACATCCCACCCAGGCTTTAAGTCCCCCCCATCTCCCAGGACCAGGCAGCAGCGTTGCTTCCCAAAGCAATCTGGGATCATTTATAAGCCTCAGAGAAGAAGGACCTCCTAAAAGGATCTTTCTGGCATTACCAAAATTCTGTGCTCAGTAGATAATGAACCACCATTTTGGATTTCCACCCCCCCCCCATTCCCCATAAAGGGGGCTTCTCTGTGGACAACTCTTTTGTGGCTGAGGATCTGTCTGGCCCAGGGAACACAGGCCTTGTCCAGACTCCCACTGGAGGGGACAGTAGAGGAACAGAGGATGGACACAGGTCCCCTGCATGCTCTTAGAACTTCCCTCTGGAGGAAGTGAATAAGATGTACAGTCATAAGATTATTATAGAGTTTGTGCTTTCCCCTGGGACCCAAGGGGCAAAGAGGTGTGTGTGTGTGTGTGTGTGTGTGTGTGTCTGTGTGTCTCACTGAAAGTATATGAAAACCCTTAGACTTTGACACATTCTTTGCAGTAAGTCAGTGTAACGGTTTCCATTCTCCACCCACACAGATTGATCGTGGAAAGACAAAACTGATCATGGCTGGAAGTCCGGGGGTGGCAGTGTGTTACTGTATGCATTGACCTAGGACACTTCGTAGTCAGGTACAAACAGAGGATGTGGTTTTGGTTTGAATTCCCGGCTGCACAGAGTCTCATCCAAAGTGTGCCCTCCACCACGAGCACCCTAACATCATTCTGATCCCAAGAGAAAACCCCCGTCCTGAAGTAGTCTGTTTGCCCTGTGACCTTTCTGCTGTTTTCACCCCGACTCAGGGAACTCATTCCGGAAATCTGGGGGCTTTGATTTGTGCAGTAACAACTTCCACCCGATCCACTCTCAGTTATGCCAGCCTGCTTTGTCCAGATCCCAAAGAGGCCAGGCGCCTCTTCCCTCTGCACCTCCTAGGGCTGCTGGAGCACACCGGGCTCATTTTGAAAGTCATTTACATTCACTGATTGGGGGGGGGGGGTCGTACGGGAGAAGGTCAGCGGATAGTTAACATGAATTTTCACCCTGTGAGTCCCAGGAGGGAGCTCGGGTCATCAGATTTGGCAACAAGTGTCTTTAACAGCTGAGTCATCTCATTGGCTGTTGGATTCTTTCAAGGCCCTGTCCTGGCTTAGTTTACGGTCAGTTTGGTACAGGTTAGAGTTGCCCCACAAGAAGGAAACATAATTGAGAAAATGCCTCCCTAAAACTGGTCTATAAGCAAGTTTGTGGGAGCATTTTCTTCATTAGAGATTCATGTGGAGGCTCCAGGCCATTGTGGGTAGTGCCACTCCTGGGCAGGTGAGCCTGGCGCGTGTGAAAAAGCAGGCTGAGGAAGCCATGAGGAGCGGGCCAGTGAATCCCACTCCTCCTTGGCCTCTGTTTCAGTTCCTGTCTTTGGGTTCCTGACCGAGTTTCTACCTTGGCTTCTCTTGATGATGGTCCGTGTGGAACCTGGAGGCTAACTAAAGCCTTTCCTCCCCAGGTTACTTTTGGTCAGGATATTTCATCACAGCAATAGAAACACTCTTAGTAAACACCCTAGAGAGCAAGATGTTGCAGTTTCCCTTCTGCTGCCAGAAGAGGGCGTAGGTGAGATCGTGAGCGCGAGAGCACAACAGTTTTAAGTCCCAGGGAGCAGCAGGGACTCCACCATCCCTTGATACTATCGCTGCTATGGGCAAACCTAGCAGATGGCCTTAGTAGGCACCATGCTGGGTGCCTGGGGACAGCCCCAAGACTGGGCCACACTGAGCGGGACCATTCCAAACTTCTGTCCTACTATGCCAAATTCAAAGTGAGCTCAAATCCCCGAGGGGGAGCTTCGGAAGCTTGTCGACACATTTAGAGCGGCTGATAACTGCCTTTCGGAATCCCTACTCTGCTTTTAAAAAGGGAAGCAGAAGTATTACAGCCCCGCGTGAACAGTTTCCTACAGCTCTGCCCTCTGCCCGGCTGTAGCTCGGCCAAGTTTGCGCAATGCCCTCCTCACCCAGCACTGAGCGTGGCAGACTGGGCCACAGCGGAGCTTAGCCGAGTCAGGCACAATAACCACACGCGCCATCATGCTGAAATCCCCAAGCACACAGAGAAGCCAAGTTACAGACTGACCTGGCACTATCTGCCACTCAAGGCGGGAGCAGCGAGGCCACAGACCCTCCTTTCAGCCTGAATGGGAACTGCAGTCTGGAGTCCCTGCCAGCCCCCAGCAGAGGGCTTTGCATTTCGCGGGGCATTCTGGTTCTGAAGCCCTGAGGGAGACAGTGGAGACCTACTGGCCTGCTCTGCACAGAGAGGAACCGATACTCTCGGCTTCCCAGAATAACACAGCTGCCTGGGGACAGACTCCAGGGGAGACATATCTGCCAACACCTAACCCTGGGCTCCTGTCCAGCACTTGCTCCCTTCCTTCTGAAGAAGGCTGTGCCTACGGTGAGCGAGGTCACTGCACCGACTTGACTTGCTGAGCGCACTACAGCCAGCGCCTTTTGTAGCTCAGATTGTTACAATTCCCCTCAAGGTAGAGTTGACTCTATGTCACAGAATGGGAAACTGAGGCAGCTTGCCTCATTCCCACAACTACTAAGATGTACATAGAAGAGGAATTCTGAAAGAGAGAGAGAGAGAAAAGGAAAATGAAAGAAAAGAAAAAACTCAACAAATTAAAATTAGAACTACCATTGATTTATCTACACCTCTTCTTGGTTTACACCCAAAGGAAGCTAAATCAAACCTGGCACCAAGACACTTTCCCATCCATGTTTACTGGAACCCCATTCACAATATTTGAGTTACAGAATCAGTCCAGATACCCACCACCAGATAAAGAGATACTAAAAGGAAACGGAGTATGTGTACACAATGGAGCATAAAATTATATGCTATAAAAAATGATTGTGCCATTTGCAGGAAAGCAGACGGAACTTGAGATTCATCTTCCTAAGAATTATAAGCCAGACTCAGAAAGTCAAAGACGGCATCTATATGGAATTGAGATTTATGTATATGCGTACATATGTAAGGCAGAGAGACGGAAGGGAGCTGCTGTTGAGGAGGAAGGGTCCAGTGGAAGGAGAGCAGGAGAGAGAAAGGAAAGTGACTATGGGCAAAGCATGCGTGAGTTTGTCATCCGGAAACCTAAAACCTCATCCATTGTGCCCAAAACTCTTTGGACCAAACCACGGAGAGGAAAATGGCTCCCTGGACTCCTGAGATCAAAGTCCCAGGCCCCAGCACCCAGTAGCAGGATGAAGGAAAGCAAGGACACTACCTCATGGCCACATTGCTGCCATCGATCACTATGGGCCGCAGGGAGCTGCCTGGATCTCCACCAGCTTCTTCCAGTCCTGACCCCAGGCCCTGTGGGGCAGAGTCCCGGGTCCCACAGCACCCCCGGGGCATCAGCACTACTCCGGTGCTGTTGACGGGATCCTCCTGGGCCCTCGGGCGGCTACCGGTCTGGATCAACTCCTGCAGTATGTCATTGACCAATGCACCGTCACCCAGCTTGCCCAGCACCCTGATCACGTCGTCCTGGCTGTAGCCCAGTTTCTGGAAGAACTCCATCTTGTTCCGACGCTCCATATCGCGCCAACTGTTGTCTGGCACGGCTCCTGCCCTGGGCTTCCTCCTGGCGGAACTGCACAGGCATAAGCTAAAAGGAAAAAGGCAGTAGTCAGGTGTTTGCTAAGCAGCCTGGCAGCGGGGCCACTGGGTGAGGAGGGCATGCTGTGTGTGCTCCTCCCTCCCCGTGTTATCTGTCAGGAAATCACGCCTAGCCTGGTCCCCTTGAGGATTTTCAGTTGTTTGGTGTGGCTGGCGAGCCACAAAGGCAATCACACCTCTGTTACCAGTGCGTTCTCTGAGCCCTTTGCTCTTGAGTGCCAGGGCCCAAGGTGGCAGGGGCTGAGTAAGGCACCAAGCCAAGGGAATCTTCTTACAGACTCTGTTAGAAGCGAAACGGTATCTACCCAGACTTCTGCACCAGTACCTCAGGGTGTTACTGTATTTAGAGACAGGGCCTTTCAAATCAGGTCCTTGGGGGCACACCTTCACCCTGCAATAGCTGTTCCACAAGAAGAGGTGAGGCACTTGAGACCAGACACACACAGATGTGTCACCTTAGAGCTGTGAAGGGACCGCTTAGATAGTAAGGCCTGGGAAGGAACCAACATTGTTGACTCTGATCCTGAGCACGCAGCTGCCAGAAACCAGTCACTTTCAATTGTGCCAGCCTTCATCTGCCAAGACCGCTGGAGCAGTCCTGGCAGGCAGCAGAGGCTGCAGGTCCATCCAGGGAAGAACCCTCTCAGGAGAGGGCCCCTCCCGGAAAGGCAGAGTTACCCAGGAATTCAATTCTGCACTCTGGCTCAGATGATATTCAGATCACCCTGGACCTTGAAAAGAAGAGGTCTTGACCCAAATTTGGCTCTTCCTTTGGGGCACCCAGCATAGCCCCCCTGTGTGGGGGGTAACAAGGAAGGGATTATGCTTGACAATTGTTTTCAAAAGGGGAAAATGGAAATATTCAGGACACTCTGGGTCTCTGTGCTACTCACAAATAAAGCTTGACACCCTCCAAAGGTGTCTTAAAATGCAGAAATAAACTTGAAGACATAGCTACTGTAAAATATTCAAACAGCGCAGAAGTAGAAGGATGATACAGTACATGGCCCACACCCCACTCTCCCAAACCCCACTTTGTCCCCTTTCCCCCTCCCCCACTCTCCTGGTGCCTCTAGTGCTGATGACTGTCAGCATCTCTCCAGAACTTTCTCTGTACACCTATTAGCATATTAACGAAGGATTATTTTTAGTTTATTTTTGCATATACGATGCCATGTTATACATATTGCCAGTCAGCAGCTTGCTTTTCTTCTTTAAAACACATCTTAAGAGCCAGGCCGTGGTGGCACACGCCTTTAATCCCAGCACTCAGGAGGCAGAGGCAGGCGGATCTCTGTGAGTTCGAGGCCAGCCTGGTCTACAAGAGCTAGTTCCAGGACAGGCTCCAAAGCTACAGAGAAACCCTGTCTCAAAAAACTAAAACAACAACAAAAGGAAAACAACAAACAACAACAAAAAACGGCATCTTGAGTAACTTTTCCAGCCAGCTTCCGGGACCTGCCTGCTGTATACCCCGCCCCCAGCATCAAATTTGATGGTCAATGCTGTGGGTTCTTCACCTTCTGATTCCGTTCTCCTGTAGGAGAATCCCTTACAGCATATGTGTTTCTGGGCTAGCCTCTTGCCCCTGACTCCACACACGTCTGCAGACCTCTCCAACTAGGGCAGGAGAAAGAACAGAGCTAACAAGGCCAGAGCCTGCCTGGGGCTGAGCATTCCAAATTCAACCTTCCAGACAGCGCGGCCTCTGCTGCTGCCCCGACATGCTCAGCTCGCACTCTGCCTCTGCCCAGGCTCATCTGGCTTGGACCCAGCACTGCATTTTGAACACAATCTGACCATATTTCCCCTGCTTTAAAGAATGCTCACCGCAGCCCCTGGTGACTCTCGAAGAAAATCCCAAGTTCCTGGGCATGCAGAAGAGCTGTGTCACCCCGTGGCTCTGAGCTCGACCACCCCACCACCCACCAGTGCCTCACCTAGTCCTTAGAGTGAAATGAATGTCCTCCTCATATCTAACCGCTCCAGGATGCGCTCTCTCTCTCTCTCTCTCTCTCTCTCTCTCTCTCTCTCTCTCTCTCTCTCTCTCACACACACACACACACACACACACACACACACACACGCTTGTCTCTTTGGGGGGTTGCAAGCTTTAAATTTCAATTTGCACGTCACTTAGAGGGATCGTCCTGGACTCTTCAGACCTAAGAGAGCTCGGTCATGCCACCTACCATGTGGGATCAGCGCACATGAGTTATCACGTGTCTTTCTCAAGAGACCCGATGTTCTGACCTGTCCGCCTCAGTGTCCCACCCTTTGGTATGGGAGAGCTGAGGAGCTCCATAGATATTTTTTAAATAGACCCTGGAGTTTTCCTCTTTTCCCACGTTTTTCCTTGAGTTTCAAATCTCGAAGACCAGCATCCTTCAGAGACCCCCTTTGACTCCACACTTCCACATCCAGCGAGTTCTGTCTCCTGGACGTTTTGCACACCCACCTGCCCTCCACACTCACCCTGACATTGTTCTACCCTCTCACTCCTCACTGGAACAAAGTCACTGGCTCCACAGAAACAAAACACAATATCCAATCTCCACTAACTCATCATCTGCTCTGGAAAACAGACCAAAAAATCTAAGTAACAAGTCATAAATCCAAAATAAGCACTATTGGCTTTTTAGAGTTTGGCTTTTTGTTCTTTTGTTTTTAAAGTTATTTGGGGGGGTGTGCACGCACGCACACGTGCATGCACACGTACATGCACATGCATGCTTGTATTTGTTTTGTGTGCCAGAGTGCTCAGGTGGAGGTCGGAGGAGAACTTGTCAGATCTTATTCTTCCCCTTCCACCCACTGGGTCCTGGGGATGGAACTCAGGTCACCCCGCTTCACAGCAAGTGCCCTCACTGGCTGAGTCATCTCACTAGACCAGAACAATTGCTTTGATTAGAAAAAAAATGTGCTTTTGGGAGCTGGAAAGATGGCTCACCAGTTAAGAGCACTTGCTGTTCTTACAAAGGATCTGAGTCAGGTTCTCAGCAGTCACAAGCGGCTCACAACCATCTGGAACCCCATTCCCAGGCAATCCTGCCTTCTTCTGTCCTCTAAAGACACCAGGCCCACACTCAGTGTACATACAGACCTGCAGGCAAAACACTCAGACACACACAGTAAGTAAATCTAGAATAATATTTTAAAGAAAGAGAAAGAAAAGTGTGCTCTCAAGGCCCATGTGGGGAATGACTGATCTCCTTTAGAAGGGTGTGGAGGGGTCATCCAGGCTCATCTGGTAGACACCTGCCACCGAGTCCTGTGAGCTGAGTTCGAGTCCCTGAGAGAATGAACTTATGGGACTTGTCGACACACAGTGGAGAAGTAAACATAAAACTGGGGCCAGGAAAGGCCAGGGGAGTCCTCAGAGGACCGTGAGACCCCGAGAGGACCCGAGGTCTCGGGATGTAGCTTGTCCCACCCCCACCCCCAGTGACGCTAATGCCCAGTCACACCGCAAGACTCCATAGCTGAGGAGTTTGATAGACCTTTGTTTTTTTAATAGACAGTCTAAGGTCTAAGTTGAAGTTTTCCTCTTTTCTCCAAACTCCACATCCCTCTATCCTGCACAGATTAAAGGACAAAACTCATCCACATGAGAGTCGGGGCCTCACGGTCAGCCCTGTTCCACCTCCCGTCTCTCAACTGCAAGTCTCTGGTCCAGCCTCACCTTCTCTCTGTGTCTAGTGAGCAATCCTCCTCTCACAGAGCCTTTGGCCTCTAGGGCTAGGGTCCAGCTCTGGACCAAATTTCACATAAAAAGAGGACACTCACAAACCTGCTGGGTCTCGTCACACTGTGAGGGCGAGGGGTGTCACTTACTGACCCACGAGACTCCCCCTACCTGGAACATCTGTTTTCTCCATAGGCTAAGCCTACTCTTATATTTTCCAAAAGCTTCCAAAATTTTGATGTTCCGTGAGCCCTCCTCCCTGCACTGCCGGTGCACGCACCTCTGCGCTTATTTCAGAGAGCAGGGAAGAACAGAAAGAAGCAGCAGAAATAACAACATGCATGTCCCTAACTAGTGCGGCTTTTCATGGTTTCCGTATCATTTTTATGAACTCTTAACTAAACTTCCTGTTTCTCTCGGTGGGAAAACAGTCTAAATGGGCACATTCTCTCCTTTCGGCACTGAGGAAACGGAGGCTAGAGAGCTAGTACACGGCAGAGCGTGACAATCAGCGCCTTCCAAAAATAACTTGTTATTTTGAGTCATGTGCTCAGCACAGGGGCAGCAGCGTCTTACCGTTGCAGGGAGACATTAAAATTACGACTGAGTGGCTTCCCCTTCCGTCTCAAAGGAACAGCTCTGTGAAGAGGTCCGAGTTTCCACCTGCTGCCCGGTGGGACAAAAGCAAGAGCAGCTAAAATGAGATTTGTGTCTGATGGCGGGGAGGAGAGTAAGCAGGCAGCCGGCCGTATGAGGGCCTGCCCTGTGACTGCTTCTTTCTGTGGGGTAGAGTTTCATTACCCTGAGAACACTCTCAGAAGGCATGGGTGCCACCAGACAGCTGCTTTTTATACAAAACTAACAGAATTCACCTACTTCGGAAAATAATCCCCCTCGGGACCTTAACAGCAACTTTCGCTCCTTTTAAAAACAAATGTCTTCTAAATAAGGGTAGGGGCCTGCCCCCCGGAGCCCCCTCCCCGACACCCCGATGAGATGCTCTTCACGCGCTAATACCCGGCTGCTTAAGTGTGACCTCGCTATTTTTAAAACCTGAGAGTCCATACAGCTTCACCTCAGTGTTCTTCCTCAATCTTGACTGGAAGTCACAAATAGTCCAGAAGATTAGCAACGAAATCGTCTAGATTTCCTCATGAGACCTTGTGACGGTCAGCATCCCGACCCTCAGGACTGAGACCCCTTCTAGAAGCAGCAAACCCAGATTGGAGACCCCTCAAGCCGAAGGCCTGTAGCCTCTGCCTCAAAGAGCCTCCGGGAAAATCTAGGAGAGAAGGAGAAAAAGTGAGGGGTAACGATACCAGAGACACAGCCACCTCCCTGTACAGAACTGCCTCATTATGAGCTGCTGCCCCCTCCACTGTCTGTGGAAGCCCCAACCTCCTTTTGAAGTGGGACAAGCTAGCCCATTCCTCCCCCTGTGGCGGCAGTTCCTGTGAGGAAACTGAGGAAAAAAGTCTTTGGTGACTTGCTCAGGGTCCCAGAGCTACTCAATGGGCCACCAGCCTGCCAAGGGAGGTGATATTTGTCTCCCAGGCCAGAGAGCGCCCTCCAGTGGCCGGCCGCCTGCAGTGCACACCCACAGAAATGAGCCCCAGATTACATTCAGCATCCTGTCCTGACCCCCAAAGCCACTTGAATGGGATTCCAACCACAATAGTCAGGAGAGTGTCAGCCTGGCCCCAGCTCTCAACAACTTCGTGAAAACTTGTAGTGGTCGGCCCAGACCTCCAGCCAGCCTCTTGGTGGAGCGAATTGTCAGTCAGGCTCTTTTTGTTTTCTTTTGTTTTGTCAGTTAGAGTTTGAGGAAGTCACAGAGAATCTAAGATTTCATCCCACAGGACTGAAGGACTGGTCTTTTTTTTTTTTTTTAATCTACTCACCTCTAACTTCTTAAAGAAAATTTGTAATTTAAAAAATATTGTAGGGGGCTGGGCCTGTAGCTTAGTGGTGGCTGCTTGCCTGGCATCCACAAGGCCCTGTTGTAAGCCTTCCAAGCACACAGTCCTGTACTGGAGAGTTGTTCACACGCTGGAGAGCTATTCACACCAGCCACCTCTAGAACTCCCCACCCAGCAGAACTCATTCTTACCGTCCCAGGTAGCAGCCACCTTCCCACTGCCTCTCAGCACACCCCCATGAGTGGAGTCGTACAGCCTGTGTTTCGACTCCAGGTCCACACATGTTGTGGTATACATCAGCATGTCCTTCCTTTTTGAGGCAGAGTAAGAATCCACCTGAGGTGTGTTCCACGGGTTGTGTCTGTTCACTCCTCCAGCTGTGGAGAACTTTGGCTGCTTCTAGCTCTTGGCTACTGTCACTCACACTGCTATGAACATGGGCATGCTGGCCTGGACTTCTGTTTCCTCCTTGGACTTACCCCCTCCCTCCACTGTCGCTATAAGTAACTTACAGGTATGTCTGAAGCCTTTACAGGCATGACCCGTAGTCCTACGCATGTTCCAGGCTCACACGGTCCATTGTAGCATCAAGCTCAAGTTTCCAGAGCTGCAAAGACTCGGCCAAACCAAATTAAGGGCCATCAGTCTCCTCAGCAGCCCCGAGACTGCTGCAGAAACTCCTCAGCTGCATCAGCTAGGAAACTCGCCAAAGAACCAGAGTCTAGCAGGGCAGACACTCTGGGAGTCTGCAGGTGGGGTAAAGCCATCCCCGCTCTTCACTTCGCAGCATGCAACTTGCTACAAAGCCCACAGACAGAGGTTTTACTCCAGCTGGGAAGATCACCCCTGACACCCACCCATCCTACCCCCACACACTTTTACCCCTTGCTAAAAGTGAGCAGACATTGCATCTAAGGGCAGTTAAAGATGCTTACCTTGTTTCTACAATTTGAACATCTAAAAGAATTCCAGGTGTTCAGGGCAGTCCTCACACACACACATACACACACACACAGACACAGACACACACACACACACACACACACACACACGTCAAACATGTCCTTCTCCCTTCCTCTTGACTGAATGAAGTCTGTCCTGGGCCTGCCCTGTTAACTGAGAGCAGGGCACAGACACTCACCAGCAGGGTGTGTCCCTCCGGTTCTCAAGGCTGCCCAGCTTCCTTGAGCCTTTCCGTTGAAGGCTCTCCCGCGAGGGGTGCTCAGTCCCTCAGGAGCTCCTAGAGTCCAAGGAGGGTAGAAAACCCAGGCCACTCCCCCGCTAGAAGCTGATCCATGCCTACGCTCCACTTCCTGCACAAGTCACACTCAGCTACAAAAGGTACTTAAAGTTCGCGTTAAAAAGAAAAGGAAGAAAGCAGCCCGAGGTAGGAAGTTCGCGCCTCTGCCTGAGTCAACGAATCAAAGTACAGCAGCCATGCAAAACAGGCTCTCCTGAGGGCTGCAGTAGCAGCCTCCCCCGGAAGAGCCAAGCATCCAAGAGAAAAAGCATCAGGAATAGGAGGGTCTGAATGACTGCTAAGTTCCCACTCCTGGTGCCTGGGAAACCAGCGTGCTTGAAGATGTTCCTAGGGGAAGTTGATGCCCAGTTAAAGAGGGCCACAGCCAGCAAGATGGAAGTCTCCGCAAGGGAGAGAACAGAGATCACTACAAGTTGCACAGGGAACTTGGGCTTGGAGAAGAATTCTGCTCTTGATTCACGAAGCCAGAAGTCCCAACAAGTCCTGAATCCCCTTGGGATAGGGGGAGTATGGGGTGTGGCTCTCTCTGCTGCTGTCCTGCATGGTGACTGCTTCCCTAATTGAGGAGGTCTTGACCCCAGGCCTCTACAGGACAACGTTCTGCTGTTATACAGAAAGCAGACGCTGGATTTTGTCTCCTGAATTTGGGGTGTTTCACAGCACTGCCGGCAAACCGCACAGCGACCCACCTTCCACTGGGCATAGAAAGTCAAGCTGAGTTTAGAATACAAGAGTTGGTACTGAGGGAGTAAGGAGGCCTGTCTTTCACGCGAGTGATGGAGATTAAAACACGGGCCCCCATGTTTGCACAGCAAACACTCTCGCCCATGAATTATTGCTCATCCCCTTTATTTATGTCTTTTGAAACATAGCCTTTGTATATACTCGAGGTTGTCCTTAAACGCCCTCTGTCCAGGCTAGCCTTGAACTCAGTCCTTTGGCCTTGGCCTCCCCCAGTGCTGAGATTAAAGGTGTTGAATTTACCATGCCCAGCCTTAAAAGCTATTCTCTTAGTTAAATAGATCATCGAAGCCCTGGAAAGATTATCAAGATGGACCCAGGCCGTGGGATATAAAAAGCTTGATTTGCGGGCCATCAAGATGACTCAGCAGGTGACTGATAACCTGAATCTGATTTCCTTGGACTCACAGTGGAAGGAGAGAATCCACTCCTGCGAGCTGTCCCCTGACCTTTACACTGTGTCAAGTCACATACATACATATACATATACACACATATGCACATGCATACACATATGTACACACACATACACAAACAACAAATAAATAAATGCAACAGACATTTAAAAAAGAATCCTGATTTGTGTCCAGCCCTGCAGAGGATGGGACCAAGTGGAAAGCATCAAATTATTTCTCAAAAAAAAAAAAAAAAAAAAAAAAAAAAAAGAGGTCTGTGGGTAGCAAGGTGGCTCAGCAGGCAAAGGTTCTTAATGCCAAACCTGATGACCGGAGTTCTAGTCACAGGACCAGCAAAATGGGAAGAGGACCAGCTCCTTCAGACTGTCCTCTGACCTCCACACTTGTGACATGACACAGTGTACTCACGTACATACATGTACATATATGTATGCACACAATACACATATGCACACACACGCTACATTTTAAATTGTTTGAGTGGACAGTGCCTGGGAATGACGCCTAAGATCCTCTGACCTCCTCTACACATGCGCATCCTCTCACACAGATACATGCGCATACACAAAAATGATGGTGTCTGGTCAGTTATCAGACTACAAGGTGATTGGTGGAGGCAAAAAGACTTCCGTGTCTTAATTCCTGGAGACATCATTTCGACCAGAAACCTCGATTCTCACTTGTCTTTGTCAGGAGAGCCACCGTACTGTCTCTTTACTGGTCCCCTCCAGTATCTGATCTAGAGAAAGCTTGGCTGGGTTCACCCACAGTCAGTGGCTTGTTTCAGTTGTCATGACTGCGGGCTGCTGGGCTGGGAAAGAAGTCGGTCCTGCTTAGGTGACTTGTTACCCACTGGAAGGGGAACCAGTTACAATGTTACTCACGCCAAACTGAGTTCTGCCTAGAAGAGGAGGGGGCAGGGCAGCAGCTTGCAAGGGAAGAGTCCCTGGACTCCATCTCCAACCCCACAAGAATCAATCAAATAAGAAATAGAAGGGGGACTGCAATCTCACAGCCGTGACAGACACAGGGCAACATCTCAGAAATGCTGTTGAGTCCTGCGCAGGGCCCGGTAGAAGCAGGATGGCAGACCTCCTTCCTTTTCCTCTTTTGCTTGGCCAACCCCAAAGCTACTTCTGCCTTCTCCCCACCTTTTTGGTAACACTGGGGTCTGTGCCATCAGGAAGTGGCCCAGGAGGGCATAGGCATGTGGGGACAGACTCTCACCACAGAAAGAAGACAACATGCAGGCAGGTAACATGCACAGAGACCTGGAAGCTCTGGACATTCAAGGACCAGAAAGGCTGCCTCCTTCTGTCTACAGTACCTGTGGACACCACCAGTCTACCTCACTGGCTTGAGGTTGCAAAGCTGATAGATTCAGCAAAATAAACTTTAGATTATGGTTAAAAGTCTTACTTAAATAACAAAAAAAACAGGGCCAGTAATATGGCTCGACTGGGAAATGTGCCTACTGCCACGCCTGACATCTGAGTGAGTTCGAATCCTGAGACCCACGTGGTCGGAGAGAATAGTTTCTACAAGTTGTCCTCTGATTTCCACACATGTTACTCTGATGACCGGAGTTCTAGTCACAGGACCAGCAAAATGGAAAGAGAACCAGCTCCTTCAGACTGTCCTCTGACATCCACACTTGTGACATGACACAGTGTACTCACGTACATACATGTACACATACGTATGCATACACACGCTACATTTTAAATTGTTTGAGTGTGCCGGGCAATGGTGGCGCACACCTTTAATCCCAGCACTCGGGAGGCAGAGGCAGGCGGATCTCTGTGAGTTTGAGACTAGCCTGGTCTACAGAGCTAGTTCCAGGACAGGCTCAAAAACCACAGAGAAACCCTGTCTCGAAAAAAAAAAAAAAAAAAAAAAAAAAAAAAAAAAAAAAAAAAACAGTAAATTGTTTGAGTGGACAGTGCACACGCGCACACACACACACCCCAAAAAAATGTAATGATAAAACCCATTACAGCTTGCGAGAAAATGTCTTTTCAATCCCAGGATAGACAGGTGTTTGTTTTAAGCAAGATTCAAACAGCATAGATTATGAAGGAAAAACCAATACATTTAACTGTAGACCTCCAAACATTGTAAACAAAGTTAAAAGTTGCATATAAAACTGAACAAATACTTAGGACATACAGAAAACGCACAATGTCTCAATACATGAAAGATAATGCCAACCAAAAAGAAAAGGGCACAAAAACAACATGCCATGGCGTGAACAACCCTAGCGGCCAGGGAACAAAAGCCAAAGTGGCCTTGGCGAACCCATCCTCGCATACAGGTTTACCAAAAAGCAGAATGGCTAAGAAACCCGGATGTTGGCAGGATTTGGAGACTGAGCGCTCCCACCTGCCTCTGGCGAACACATTAATAGAAAAGCCAAGGAGAACTCTCCTGACCAAGCACGTGCGTGACTTCTCCCCACTGTGCAAGGCCGCAGGTTCAGTCCTTAGCACCACACCATAAAGATGCTTAAAACATACTTTAAAAACAAACACACGTACTTGTAACAGCATCTGATCTCTGTTAAATGCTCAGTCGATGGCTATTATCTTTTTGACTATAAATTCATTCATTTTTTTGTTTTGTTTGTTTTGTTTTGTCGAGTCAGGGTTTCTTTGTAGCTTTGGAGTCTGTCCTGGAACTAGCTTTTGTAGACCAGGCTGGTCTCAAACTCAGAGACCTGCCTGCCTCTGCCTCCTGAGTGCTGGGATTAAAGGCACACACCAACACCACCTGGCTAAATTCATTCATACTTTTTGTGTGAATGTGGGTTGAGGATCAAACCTCTGCCCCCATTCCTAATTCAAAAGCTTTGACTGATTGAAACTGATTGAATCTCCCTTTGAACTCATGGTTCTTGTGCCTCAGCCCCAAGCCCGAGTGTTTTAATGTTTAATTATTTGTGTGTGTGTGTGTGTGTGTGTGTGTGTGTGTACAGGCATGCTGTGACATGTGTGTGGGGGTCAGAGGATGACTTTGGGCCGTCGATTCTCTCCTTCTACCTTGCTGAGTTGAGGATCTTGTCTTCTCCTGTTTACTACATCCTCCAGGCTAGCTGGTCAGCAATTTTAGGCTATTCTCCTGTCTCTGCCTCCCATCTCCATGGTAGGACAGCTGGAATTACAGGTGTGAGCCACCACATCTGGCTTTTGATGAGGGTTCAGGGTCAAACTCAGACTGTCAGACTTGTATGGCAACCACTTTTCCCGGCAGTGCCATCTCTGCAGTTCCTGTTTTGTTCTTTGAGATCGATGTGTCCCAGTCTGGTAACCTCCTGCCTCAGCAACCTAACCCCACAGGCCATGAGTGCCTGACAGCCCAGTTGGCTCAAACATAATTTTTAATGGAGATGGGACTGCTGCGGCCGACTGTGGTCAAGCCCAACACCTAGACAGTACTGACAAATTGCAGAGACAAATGAACAGGGCACTGGGGAACACATCTTTAATCCCAGGACTCATGGGACGGAGGCAGGAAGGAGACTCTCTATGAGGTGGAGGCTAGTCTACACAGCGAGTTCCAGGCCAGTTAGGGCTACACAGTGAGACCAGGTTTCTAAAACAAAACAACTTTGCGGAGACTAGGAAATCTACCCTCCCGGTCAACAGTCGGAATGTGTGAGCTCGTCACACACAGGCTAAGAGCTGCAGAAAGGGCTGAGCTGCTCAGAGTAGCTGTGGGTCTCGCAGATGACCCTACCACCTGTATGGCAGCTCACAAATGATCTCTTCTGACCCCCATGAGCACCAGAAATGCACACAGTAAACACACATACATAAGCCATACATTCACACAGTAAACACACATACACACCTACACACATACATACAGTTATACATTCACACAGTAAACACACATACATACCTACACACATACATACAGTCATACATT